AGGCAGCCCAACAGAATTTTCACAGGAACTAAATCTATTTTTTTCACACCGATCATGCATGTTTTACTCAAGCATTGAGTCATTAGCATGTTTATAATGGTTCTAATTTAGCACAACATTTTCTGAATTTTATCCTTGAGTCATTTACAAATTGTTCATATTGAGTAAACAAAGGAAACAGATTGCATTTTATACTTAGTAATTTATCTGAAAGAAGAGGGGAGGGTTAATTGTTTTAAAGTTTTGGTCTGTTTGGGGAAGTGAGCCTGCTTTTTCATTGCTAGGCATAAATGCCATTTCTCATCTTTTTGGTAATGGGGGAGGGGGGTTATGGAGGAGTAAAATGAAAAATTAGGACCAGGACAAGATTGGCCACTCCCAGAGGGGAGTGTGGAGCAAAAGGGGGGCTGGCACGAGATTATCCAAAACAGTTGGTGCATTCCTTAATGATCAAGTGCTTGAGAAGTCCAGCTCTTCCTGGCAGAGCATCTGTGTTGATGTTTATATCATTGCCCTGCTGTATGGGAAAGGCATGCTTTCTCTTGCTGCTTGGCTAAAAATAGTATGGAATATAGCATTGTATGAGATATTTTAAGATAGCAAAAACATTTAAGAGGTGAAAGGTTTGACTTTTGGATCAAAAAGGATCAGTGATATAACTCGTGGTGTTACTTGCAGACTGAATTTTATCTAGAGTTTGTTAGTGATTCGTACTCTTGGTTGGGGAAGTTATTCTAGGTTTATTTGGTGTAGTCTGAAAAACCCACTCTGCTGTCTTTTCTGTCAGCTTCCCCAGCGTGAAGAGCAGGCCTGAAAACAGCCTCTATTTATACCCCCTTGTTCTTATTTGGAAAATCAGTTGTTTCATTGGAGAGAGAGGGAGAGAGGGGGAGAGAGGAAGAGCATGAGCAGTCGTCAGGGAGTGTGCTTTGTACGTTATAGTGACTTCAAAATAAAACTGGCACATTTTAGTGTCTAATTATTTTTAGTGAGCTCGGAGGGTTTTAATTAAAATTTAAGAGTGCTCTTCAAGCTCTCCAAGTTCCAATTTTATCCCACTGTATTGTGGAGCACTTGCCACTGTGGAAAAATGTACAGTAACTGGCATGTGCAACTCTGTGTTTCCTAATGAAAAATGTGGGATGGATAATCTGTAGGGATATAAATACATTTTGCTGGGTTTATTTGTAAACCAAGGTCATGGATACTTTTGATAAGTTATCATTGTTCTTGGATAAATAGAAAAATTTATTGCATTTGAAATTTATGATTCTTATGGTAAAATTAAAAAGAATGGCTTTACTATTTTCTCAAAGTGTTAATAAAGCAATAGAAAATCTGTACATAGAGCCAGCAGTGATTGTTTTCCTCAATAAAATATTTTGAAGATATCTTTTATGTCATGTTTCTAATGTTTTAGCATTTCTAAGCGTTTCTAATCACTTTGAGGTAAAAGGAATAACGTGTTTGCTTATAGGTAGATTGTAATAAAATTCAATAAACATTTGTTACATTATCTCTTCCTCTTCCCCATGTTGTAATTTTAATGACAATTTATTTATTTATTTTTTGATCTATCTGAAATTACTTTGTACAGTATAGGAGTTAATGCTGCTGCAGATTTGTCTAAGTAGAAGTAATTTAAAATTGTTTCTAAAATATCATCGTACAATTAGGAAATCAATATCTCACATGCTCTTTCTTTTCATTTTTCTTAAATCATAAAATTAATTACTAAGTTAATTAGCAAAAGCATTACTCAGCTGTGATAAAGCATTCTTGACTTACCTGGCCTGAAACCTAAGTACTTAGGAAGCAGAAACTTTGCTTTGTAATTTATTATGCAGATATTTAAAAAACAAAGTGGTTCTGAATTGTATCTTCCTTTTTTCTCAAATTTCTTGAAGGAGATAAATTTGAAAAAGAAAAGAAAAAAGCAGAAACAATGCAACTTGTAATTTATAACATGTCAAAACATTTACATCCTTGCTTAAAATATAGGTGAGAACTGAAGTCTCATTCTTGATTTTTGATAGTACCCTTTTCATCAATATTATTTGTAAAAATTAGAGAAGATAAAGTTCTGCATTTCATTGAATAAATATTGGTTAATGGAAAGATTCTTTCAAAGAGGAATTAATTTTGGCATTTTCTGTTTCAATACGACTTTAGCATAGTGCTACTTTTAATTTGTACCCTTACCTGGACATTGTTTTCAGATAGAAATTTGAAAATATACATTGTATTTGTAACTTGGTATCTACTACATATTTCCTCATTTCAAATCAGAAACTCTTTAGGTGGTGGCAGTAGTGTCCTCTGCTTATACAGTGCTTAGTAACAATTCACTTCTTTCGGCCTTTTTTCTCTCATCCTACTTGCTTTACATTATTACATGGAGAGTTCTTAGCACCGATGATGGTGTGCCCCTAGAGGTTTGGCAGTCAGATAGTGGTGTGCCCCTAGAGGTTTGGCAGTCAGATAATGGTGTAGAAAGCAGTCATCTGTCAAGAGACCTTCTTACAGGTTTGAGTCTCCCTGGAATCTCCTAGTCTTGAGAATAAACATTGATAAGGTAGTATGTAGTAACTTTTATTGTCCTATAGATAAAGGCGATCAGTAATTGCTATTAAATATTTTCATGGCTGAAAATTTAGATAAGCAAAGGCTGCTTTATTTTTTTCCCTCAGTTTCTTCTACTGTAATGGGAACTCATATAGCTAGATTAACTGAGCATTGCAGTAAGGATTAATTTTCTAATAGGAATGTGAAATGCTTTGATGTTATTAACCACTTTATTAATGAGTAGCTTTTATGTAAAGCTGTGTCCACACGATTTGATTTATATTTGAAGTATGTGTTCTTGTTGTTCATATAGCTCTCTTTTTCTCCTGTGAAGTTTTAGCATTCTTTTCTTGGAGCTCTAAAAGATTTCAAGTCTATTTATAGAAATGAGAGACATATTTTAGCCTGTTTACATCCTAGTGTGCATTTAATCCTAGTATATGAACTTGCTCTAAATTTGCTGTTATTACAAATAAATTGTGCTTTTATCTTTGACTACTATAATGTATGCTCTCAACTCAAAGTTTAGCTAAATGAGTTATGCTTTTGTAACTGTATCAGTAATTACCAGTTTAGTGCACTGATACGTTGTATGAAAGGGTAAAAATAAATTGGATAGAGTATGAAAATAAAAACTTTTTGTTGATTATTCTTATCCATAATCTAATGTTATATCAATCTCTCTCAGAAATTCAAACCTGATTTGAGAAAAAGTAATATGTGACAGGCATGGATTTGAAGAATTGCTTCGTAGCTCTTAGTATTATCTTTTTTATGACTTTAGCATAAAAACAAACTAGGTATAGAACGAAACATAAATCTCATTTCTGAATTTGAATAAAAAATAGTAAGAGACTATTTCGGCAATTAAATACAACCTGGACATATGCATATGTATGTAGGCCCCATTGGAACATTACTCCGAATGCAATTTTGAAGCACAGTAGTAGATCCTTTGTTGAAGACTAAGAAAATAATAGGAAAGAATGGAAGGAAGAAGGAAGATAGGAAAGAAGGAAAAGGGGAGGGAAGAAGTATAGGGGATGGGCAAGGAGCTTTCATTTAATAAAGTCAAGCTGTGTTCTATTTAGAAAGAACTTTAGCTCTGTGATAGCCAGTTCAGATGGTTGTTCTTCATCAGCCCTTTTCACGACATGCTGATCTGGATTCTGTCCCTTCTTGATTGATTGATCATGTCACAGACAAATGTTAATTGTTTTTCACCAATACTTTCTAACCATGCAGTGGTTTTCTCATCTCTTAGCCAGGGCTCACTGTCTTTTTCTGAATCTTATCTAGCTTCTAAAACCCCCTAGATCCATCTTGACCTTACTGTCATTCTGAAAAATTCAAGGAGGATTTAGAAGCTGGAGAAAAAAAATGAAAGGGAAAATGCTAAAGAGGTAGGTGCTGATATGAGAGAGAAAAGGCATTTAGAATTGGAGTAACTGTTTTAAATATAATTTTAAAAGAAAGTTATCAGAATTTTGACACTTGGAATGTTAAAGTTTTATGGGAGTATGCTTTGCACTAAGGATTTAGTATTTAAATCTGCATTCCCTTTTGGAAACATGACCTATTCGTTAAGATTTGAGGCTTAAAAGGTACAAATAAATAGTTGTAAGCAGTAGCCCCAGTTGCCAGTCCATCTACATAAAGACCAGAAATAACTGATTGAGAAAAATTTGGTAATTATCAGGACATTCTGAAGTTTGGATTTCTGTAACCTTTATGAATCTTTATAAAAACAATTGTAATTACTCCCTATATTCTAGTATGTTATTGAGAAGTACAGTAGGGCAAATAAGAAGTGGCATTTATATAGGTATTTTTTAAATAAAAATATGTATCACTTTTTGTATGAGAAAAGTTTTAGCAGTTTTCATTACTAGGGACCAGAGAACATTTTAGTTTTATTTTCTTCTTGTTGGCTCTAATTGAATGTTTTACAAAAGTTAGGTTTCTTTTTTAAGAACTTAGTGATTACAGATTGACTGACTTCTTCTCTCCTGAATATCTCTTATTGTTTCTTGCACAGCACATACATTTTATTTGGACTTAAAAAAAATTGCCTGAATTAAAAGGAGTATCTAAAGTTAAACTCATAGGAAAGAGCCCTCTTTTCTGTACTGCCAGTCTAAGAAATAACAAATGCTGACTGAATATTAATAGAATTATAATACTAAAATAAGATTATTGGGCATTATCTTTTTTCTCCTAGATGATAGTTAAAATAATTACCTGGTGAAAATAAATTTTGTTGTAGTATTTTATAATATATATTATAGAATAATGTAATTTTCTATATCCTGGGGTTAAAGCAATAGCAACAAAACAGCTTTGTGCATTCTTAAATGAGAGAATTTCTCCATAAACTGACTTTCTAAATTTGTAATAAATACATATTTTTAATACTTACTTTTGTATTTTAATAGATTCCTCCTGCATGGAAAAACTACTTTCAAAAGATTGGAAGGAAAAAATGGAAAGACTAAATACCAGTGAACTCCTTGGAGAAATTAAAGGTACACCATAAGATATATCAAACATGTCAATGCAGTGATTTTATTTTGCATAACAATGTATTTGCTGATCTTCTGTACCATAACACTAAAGTTTCACATCTAACATTTGATTGTACATGAGAGGGTAAATGTGTTACACGTTCCTGAACTTTTATTCTTTGCAGTATTTACAAACTGAAAATTTTCTCTACTTTTTGTATTAGTCTGTAAACATATAACTTAATGGATATGCTGCCTCATTAATTTACCCCACAAAAAGAAGTATAAAAACTTTATGTGAAAAGATGAGTAAATTAAGCTAAAGACAGTCTTAGGTTTTCCTCTTAAAATTGTAATAATAGCTTAATTTATGAATCCAAATTATTTTGAATTTCCTCTAATCAAAATGGGTTTCCTGTTTCACCTTTAAAAATGTTTCCACCCCAAATCCACAAAACATACATTCTTATCAGTACCACATCACACCTACTCTAAAAGTGACTACATAATTGGAAGTAAATCTCTCCTCAATAATTGCATAGCATTTCATAGATTTAAGTGAAATATTGATTGGCTGCTTGTTTGTTATTTTCCTCCCTTATTCCTTCCTGTCTCCATTGTTAAGCACAATTATTGGCATAAAAGAGGTTTTCAATACCCATTTTTAGACTGCATTCTAGCCTGGGCAATAAAGCAAGACTCCCATTCTCTCTCTCTCTTTCTCTTCCTCTTTCTTTCTCTCTTTCATTCTTTTTTTCCTTCATTTCTCTCTTTCTTTCTCTTTTTTTCTCTCTTAAAAAAAATTTAAAAAAATGTTTCTAGGATATGCTATACATAATGGTTTATGGGGGGATTCTGAAGACTGTTTACCTTGATTCATATTGTGGCTCTGTCACTGGATGAGTAACTTTGGATGAGCCACTGAACTTTTCTATGTTTTTTTTTTTTGTTTTGTTTTTTGTCTTATTTTTGTTTTCATTTTGAGAGGGAGTTCCTCTGTCGCCAGGCTGGAGTGCAGTTGCATAATCTCAGCTCAATGCAATCTCTGCCTCCTGAGTTCAAGCAATTCTCCTGCCTCAGCTTCTCAAGTATCTGGGACTACAGGTGCTCCACCATACTCAGTTAATTTTTGCATTTTTAGTAGAGACAGGGTTTCAGCATGCTGGCCAGGATGGTCTCAATCTCTTGACTTCGTGATCTGCCCTCCTCGGCCTTCCAAAGTGCTGGGATTACAGGCGTGACCCACCATACTTGACCTTTTCTATGTTTTATAATCCTCATCCATAAAATGAGGATAATAAAAGTACTTCCTTCATAGGCTCACTAAGAGATGTAATACATGTATAGCTCTTAGAACAGTACCTGGCACTTAAGAAAGTACTAATGAGTTTAAGTTGTGGTGGTTGTTAATATACACACAGGATCCTATGTTGATTAAACCACAAATTTCATGAGGTTTAGCGTTTCATGGTCTTTGACTCAGATGACAATAAACATCTTTACTTTTGAATATATGTGATTGATGTTATTATTTTTAGACTTGTAAAGAAATGGACTATCCCAATCCATTCAGATAGTAAGTTAAAGGTAACTTATCTAGAGTTACAGTTTTTGCCTGGTAACAAAACTCTTGCTGATTCATTTATGGAGAAGAAGTGCTGTATTATTAATTTTTTTTGCATTATGAGTGAAATTCATGATCACTCATTAACTCTATCTGTCAACCCTATGGACAGTCATCACTGTGATTTGCACTAACAATTTGGGTCCTTAATTATATTAGTTTTCTAAATTTATCAAACAACTTTAGGTGAATCTTCCTATTGGTTGTAGGTAATATCTGAGTTAAGATGAAAATTTGATAATAATATCTAATGTAAATGTTATTTAGAATTTACTACAGAAAATTTCCTAGTTTTCAGGCATATCATGTTCAACTCAAATAAAGAGAAAAGGAAATTATCTTATTTCCCAGCAAATAATTAATAACTAATTCCATTAACTAATTATTTATCAAAATCAGTGGCAATTGGATATTATTTTGAGTTCCCCTGCTTCTGTTTTATACTCGTAAAGACCATTTGCTGTTTTGGAAAAAAAAAATTCAACTTATTGATGGGTAGAAAGAAAGTCATTAGTGATATATTCTCTATCCAGCTGCAGTAACATGGTGTTTGCTACTTTGCAAGTCATTCTATGTTTTCTTCCCTTTCCAAAGTCATTCATTTTTGTAACAGTGAGAACAGAAATGGTTTGTACAAAGGCAAGCTTTTTCCACCATGAGTGATGAGGGTCCTGTTTTCTCTTAGTAATGTGAAAACTAACATTTTATTATGTTAGTTATTCATTATGAAGTTTTTGTACTTCATGGTATGTTTCCTCCCCCACTTTCTATGTTTCTTCAAAATTTAAAAAATGTACTAGTCTCAGATGCTTAAAATGTATAAATCACAAAAGTGAACCACATGAAAAATTAGGCTTTTCAAATTCTTTAACCTTTTTTTCTGGATTCTTTGTGATATGTGAATATTCATTTTTATGTTAGAGTTTCTTACGGGCGTAAAAGATAAGATTTTTATTAAATTTATCTTTATTCTACATTATAATTTCTTCATATATCCTGATATATTCTACAGAAAATATACCAATAATATATTATTTTAAAAATAGAAAAATTAGTTAAATAATATTTAAATAGTTTAAATAAACCACTGCCAAAACTCAACATACATTTTTATTCTAGTGGAAACCAGGCCAGTTATTATCCACCTAAATTACTTATCATTATCCTGAAATTTTAAAGTGATCGAAATTATATCTTTGAGGAATACATACTATCATGGGTTATCAGTATTTAATATTATATCTCAAGCATTGTGTATTTTTGATAGCTCTTACATTTTTCTTATTACAAACTTCATATGTGTTTATTTGTAAGAAATGTGGAAAAACACAGATAGTGAAATTGCCATTTAATTCTACCTGTATCTTATTGTATAGTTTTTCCATTTTAACATATGCATACTTATGTTAACTTTTCCAATTAAAATTAGAATCATCCCATTATAAATTTTTTGTAATCTATTTTCCCCATTTAATGATATGTTATAAATTTCCCTGAGATTGCATTATCTTCTAAATATTATTTTTGTTGGCAGAAAGTATTGTGTAAAGTGAGGTTTTCATAATGTAACTGAGACCTTTATGCAACATTTAAGTTGTTTTTATTGTTTCTTGGTATAAAGAACAACTATCTTGAAAACATAACATTTTTATTAAGACTTTTCAACTTATTAGCGGTTCTTTAGGTTATATTCTTAAAAGTGAGATTCCTGGGCCAAAGAGTTTGTTCTTTATAAAAAGACTTTTGATTCATATTGCCAGTTACCCTTCAAAAAGAGCATAGTATTTTTTGCTGTCAGCAGTACTATCTGCAAGTTTTTATTCTCTTTCCTTGAATAACAAGTATTGTTAATTTAAAAATTTCTTGCCATTTCTATAGGGGAAAACAACAACATATCACTGTTCTTTTAATGAGTTTTTTTACTATTAGTGAGAATGAGGTGCTTTATATACACTTATTTGCAATTAAACATCTCTTCTTTTGTGAACTGCATATTAATGTTGGTTGCCCATTTTTTCTTTAAAAGACTTGTCCACTTTTCAGTGTTATCTAAGAAGTCTCAATATATGTTTTAATAATATTACCCTTAATTTGTTATACATGTTGCATTTTTTCATTTGTTTTATTTTCTGGTTTTGTTGACAATCTTTCCATCCTTTACTTAAATGCTTTTTTCTATTCGGGATTTGTTTAGAAAGGCTTCCTCATTCTAAAATTGTACAATATTCTGCTATATTTTCATCCTCATGTAGCTATATTTTTAAACATTTAACTATATAATGCATCTTAAATATGTTTTGATGAATAATGTCAACTAGAAATATAACTTAATATTATTCTCAAGCAGTTAACCAAATATCTGTACTGTTTATTAAATAACCCATCTTACCTCCTCTGACTTGAAATAGCATCTTTTATTATACTCTGATTACATATTTGGAACCATTTCTCAGATTTTGGTTCTATTCCATTGATTTTTCTATCTAAACTTCTATTAGTACTATGCTATATTAATCACTGTACCTTTAGTATCCTTCAAAAGTATTGCAAGATGACACTCATAATTTTTCTTTAAGGTGCTTTCATACGTCTTCAAAGTTTATCTTTAATTTATTTTATCAGGTTGTTAATTAAAATTCCAAAGTGATTTAAAAAAAAGTCATTTTACATTTATATAAAATGGTAGGATGAACCGACATCTTCATAGTATTGAATTGCTCCATTCAAAGTCATTTATTCAGTTATTTTAAGTATCTCAATAATATTTTGTCTTTAAAATACAGATTCTGCACATTTCCAATTTCATGTTTTCTTGATTATATTTAATATTTTTGCTTACTCTTGTGAATGAGATATTTTTCATTCTATTTTCCTTTTGTGATATTTAGGGATGCTATGTAATTTGGATGGTTAATTTTGTAACTTCCCTCTATTGAATTTTCAGGTGTAGTCACATTTCAGTTAATATGTATTCTCTTCCCTTTTGGTAGTTATATGTCTCTTTGCCACCCACCTGCATCCACCCTTAATATATTAATTGCTTTGAATGCCAAGAATAATATTAAGTAATAGAGAGGTAATAGCATTTTTGATGTAATTTTACTTTATGGAGTTGTTTTTAATATTTCATATTAAGTATTCTATTAACTATTGATTTAAAATACCCTTTTTCATTTAAAGATATCATTCTAGTCTATTAGGAGTTTGGTCTGTTGTGATAACTTGCATTTTATTTCACGGAATATTTTATTAAATTTTATTAAATTTTCAAATTTGTCATTGAAATAAATTCTAATTATAGTCACAGTATAGTCTTATTTAAATGTACTGCATCATTTTATTTGCTCATATTTCAGTTTTATACTTAGTTTTACAACTGTAATTAAAAATTTTGTTG